AATATAATAATATTATTAATATAATAATAATTATAATAATAATATATTATATATATATATAAACGTGAATTTTATTTATTCGAAATGAATTAAATCTTAATTCGTATCTTCACGAAAGATCATTATATATTTTTTAGAATCATTATATTATATCATTATATATATTTAAAGAATTTGATTATTGAAAAGAAAATGATATCTTGTGTTGCTTCGTAATATAATAATAAATCTACGACGATTTGTTAAAATATATATAATATGTCAGTGGCACACACAATTAATGAAAATAATTATCAATTCTTATCGTCGTAGATTGACGAGTATTCAATTTTTCATCAATGGTTATTGATTTTCGCATGCTAATTATTAATAAATGATGTTTTTGTTGTCGCGCACGCTTTTCGATTTTTTCGAATTGTTAAAGCTTTAGAATGAGTGTGCCTCACGCTTATTCTTTAAAAAAAAAAAAAAAAAAAAGAACAAAAAATAATAATAAATGCATTTCTGTTAAACGAAGTTTTCTTATATTTCGCTTTATAGTTGTTAAAAATATTTTGCATGAAATAATAATGGATTTCGTTGTTTTGGGGGAAAACGCAAAGCAAGACACTCGTGAAAAATTTCTTATTCTTATTTTATTTATTTCGTTTGTTTTTTTTTTTCTATTGAAATACAAGAAAAAAAATAAAAAAGAAAATATATATTTTATGAATTTTAAATAAAGATATATATATTTAAAATTGATGAAAATATCTTTCGAACAATTAATTTTCTTACTTTCTTATCAACATAATAATATAAAACGATAATTAAAAAAAAAAATATAAATAAAGTATCGTTTTTCAATTATCTTTTTTACAAAAATGAAAAAAAACACTTATGCTAAAAAATAAAAGGGGTGGGAAGGGTATGAGGGTAAAAAAAAATACCCCATACGTTTAATAATTTCGTTTGCACGTTTCGTTTAGAAAATATATTAATATCCCTAGTTATTAGTATTATTATCCACATATAATTAAAAAAAAAAAAATTATTAATTTCATTAATAGTTTATATATATAATAGTTATGCTAGTAGTAGAAACAAACCCTTCTAGTTTAGCCGTGAGTGTTGTATTGCGAACAGTTGAAATGACCGCTGGCCAGGAAGCCACGAGCAACACGATGACGAGGGGAAATAACAACACCTTAGCCGATTCACCAGGTCACGAATTCGTTTCCGATAGTATGAGGGTCTCGGATACGGACCTTGAGGAAGTACGAGAAGGCATGAAAAAGCTGGGAATGCAACCATCAAAAGGTCAGTGATAGATATGATCGTTGGTCGTCGTTAAACAAAATTATTAACAATTTATTCGAAATATCATTTTAACAAATATATTTCTTCTTTTATTTTTTTTATTTTTCTTCTTCTTCCTATATCGTCAAACTTTCAATTATTTTATTACAACAATATATTATAGTTCATTAATAAAAATTATCTTTCGAATATATAAAACAATGATAGAAAAGAAAATAAGGAGAATATTGGACAAAAGTTATAAGTATAGGGATTAAAAAATTAATTAAAAATCGTTACGACCACCAACGAAATTTTGAGTAACGATTGGAAGACTGATTCTTTCCTTATAATATTATCATTATTATTATTATTATTATTAACACATTGAACGACGGTATTAGCGTTAACACGTCATAAAATATATATATATAT